TTGATATGATAGACTACATTCTTTGATTTTCTTTTCTAAATTTTATTTTTCAATTATAGCTGACAAAATATATTAGTTTCAGGTGTATAACATTGTGATTAGACATTAATATACCTTACGAAGTGATCACCCCGATAAGTTTAGTACCACCTTGCACAATGCATAGTTATTACAGTATTAGTGACTATATTCCCTATGGGGGACCCTACATCCTGTGACGATTCTCCTGTCAATTTACTTCTTCATCCCTCACCTTTTTCACCCATCCCCACAACCCTGCTCCCATCTGGTGATTAGCAGTTTGTTTACTCAGCCATAAAAAAGAAGGAAATCCTGCCATTTGAGGCAACATGGATGGACGTAGAGGGTATTACGCTGAGTAAAATCAATCAGACAGAGAAGACAAACACCACAATTTCATTTATATGTGGAATCTAAAGAACAAAATAGGCAACCAATGCATTGCTTGATTTTCAAATCAACTGAACCACCTTGCCTTCCTGGAATAAATTCCACTTGGCCATGGGTGTATGTGTGTGTGTGTTTTCGCTGAATTCTGTCTGCTAACATTTTGTTAATTTTACACCTACATTTAAGAGGGATATTTGTCTATAGTTTTCTTTTTCTGTACTGTCTTTTTCTGGTTTTGGTATCGGGGAAATACTGCCTTCATGCAATGAGTTGGGAAGTGTTTCTTCCTATTTGGCTTTCTGGGAGAGATTATGTAAAATTGGTGTTAATTTTTCTTAAAGAACTGGTACACTTCGTCTAAGTTATCACATTTATGGACATAGCAGTGTTCATACTATGCTCTTATTATCCTTTTCAAACCCACGGGATTAGTATGATATCCTCCATTTTGTTCCTGATAGTGGCAGTTTGTGTCTGCTATCTTTTTTACTTTGCCTATTAGGAGATTGTTCATTTTATCGAACTTCGGATATTGGTCTTTTTAAAACTCTTTTATTGATTTTCTCTATTGTTTTTCTGGTTTCAATCTGGGGGTTTCTGATCTTATCTTTCCTTCTTTCTACATGCTTTGGATATATGTTGCTCTTCTTTTTCTAAGTTCTTGAAGTGAGATTTTAGGTCATTGACTTCAGACTTTTCTTCTTTTCTAAGATAAACATTCAATCCAATGAATTGCCCTCTCGATACTGCCTTAACTGCTTTCCATAAACTCTGATATACTGTATTTATATTGTCGTTCAGCTCAATATAATTTCTAATTTCTCTTAGTTTTTTGAGGTTTGTTTTATGGCCCAGGATATGGTCTATCCTGTTATATGTTATATGCCTACTTGAAAATAATGTATATTCTCCTGCTGTTGGGTGGAGTGTTTTATAATATCAATTAGATCCCGTTGGCTATGGGGCTCCTGAAGCCTTCTAAATAATTTCTGATTTCTGTCTAGTTGCTCTTTTAGTTGCTGAGGAAGGGATATCAAAGTCCCCAAGGATAATTATGGATTTCTCCTCTCGGCTCTGTATGGTTTTGCTTCATGTAATTTGAAGTTTCGTTGTTTGGTACATAAACATTCGGAATTGCTATGTTTTCTTGAACATTTTTAATGATTCCAATTCCATTTGTCTATATAACGCTTCTGTGTGAATCTCTCTGTTACTTGGGGTCTGTCTTTGCCTCATACCTCCCAGATTAGGTAATGCGGAAGCCGACAATGGGTGAGGTCGACAAAGCTCCCCACAAAAGCCTGCTCTCTCAAGCGAGAGGACACGGAAAAGGGCTAGCCTAAAATCACAGGAAAATGTGAGATAATAACCTCTCTATCCAGGAAAACAACACAGAACATAAAGCCGCAGCAGCACCCTCTCCCCTGCCAGCAAAGGTGGAGTGGGGAGCCTGGAGTTCTGCCTGTGCCAGTAGCAAGGTGCGTGACCCGCCCTCCCCCGCCCATGTGGTGGCGTCAAAAAGGCCGAGTGGGAAACTGGACTCTGACCCACACCTCGTGGTAATGAGAGAACCTCCCCCACTCCATTTGGTGTCCACGGAGACTCCATGAAGCACATGAACTTCCATGCCCATTTAGCACGGGGGTAGTGTCAGAGGAGGCCTGAGAGATATACAGGACTTTTGCCACCACTCAGCGGTAATAGGCTATCATGCCGTGGTGTCACTGGACAGGAGACCATATGGGGAACAGTAATGAGACGCCCTGCCTCTCCAGCCAGAGTGGTATCAGCAGAGGCCTAGCGAGGAGCCTAAACTCCTAGTAGTAACGAGGAGTCCTCCCTCCCATTGGTACGTCAATGGAGGCCAGTGGAAAACCTAGACTTGAACTCCATCCTGGCAGTAATGAGGCAGTATTCCTCCTCCCTCCTCTGCAGTGGCAGCATCAGAAAAGGCCTGATATAACAGAAGATGGAAGTAAGAACAAGACTCTCATAGAACCCAAATGTATAGGCTCCAGCTGGAAATCATTTATCATACCAAGACCCAGGAAGATCTCAACATGCATGAGATAAGACCGTCAACAGATATCGGCACCACGATTACACAGATGTTAATGATCTGATGAGCATTTTTAAAGTAGCCATCATAACTATGTTTTAACGAGCAATTAGGGGTACATTTGAAACAAATAAAAACAGAAAATCTCAGCAAAATCAGAGAAAGTTTCCGCAAGGAAATACGAAGACTCAGAAAAAAAACAGAAGCTATAATTATAGAAGAACCAAGTAAAAATTACCGAACTGTGAAATACAATAAGGAAATTTAAAAATCCAACTGATGGGCTCAACAGTAGATTGGAGAGGACAAGGGAAAGAAACAGTGAACTTTAAGAATAGCAGAAATTATGCAATCCAAACAAGAGAAGACGAAGACAATGCTACCAGCAACCTATCCTAAAAGAATAGCTAAAGGAAGTTCTCTAAACAGAAAGGACACAACAAAAGAAGGGATCCTGGAATATCAGGAAGGAAGAAAGAATAACGGAAAGAGGAAAACTATGGGTAAATTCGATAGACTTTCCTCCTCTCGAGTTTTGTCAATTATTTCTGATGGTTAAAGCAAATTTTTTTCCCAGCTTTATTGAGATAAAGCAAAAATTACAATATCTGACGTGGTTCTCAGTGTATCTGGAGGAAATACTTAAGACAATTATATAAAATCGAGAGCATAAAGGACACCAAGGGAGGTAAGGTTTGTATATTTCACCAAAGAGGTGACATGTTGATACCCGTAGCCTGTGATATCTAGAGCAAACCACTAAAAAAGTCCGTTCTACCTTCTTCCCTCCATATTTCAGTCTTCTTGTGTTACTTTTACATATAACGTCTAGAGTTTTTTGCTATAGTCAGTAGAGGAATAATAAATGCATATTCAAACCTATCAAATGCATGTATATGTGTATATATGTACTTTTTTCTTCATTGGAATGACGAGCAAGAAATTGTTAAAATGAGAATTGGGAGTAAACTTGAGCATACGTAAACGGTCGAATTGTTTTTCATTCTATACTTTCTCTACGGTTTGAAATTTTAACCATGCACACGTATCGTTTATATTTTTAAAATTTAAAAACATTTAAAGCAGTAGATACTTTTCAGAGCTTACATCCTACCAGACGTATCTTGGGAATTAACATTACCATCTACTCAAAAAAAACTTCTCCAGAAGTCTATGGCTTCCCTATCTTCCTGTCGCTGTCCATTCTTTCTCGATCTGCTGTGTATGTCTCTTCCATTGGCCCTTCAAACACTGGCACTCCCTGGATTTCAATCCTTGGTCTTACATTTATTCTCTTGCTACAAGTATCTCCTAGGCAAGACCATTCACTCACACAATTTTGACCACCACCTCTATGCTATCGAAGGACAAATCTATTTTTCTAATACTATCCTCTTCTCTGACATCAGATGTCTCATAGGCATGTCTATCTTAATTTGTCCCAAATTTAACTCTTGCTCTTTACTTTTAAATCTGTATCCCTCCAGCCTTATCCATCTCAATAAATGACAACTTCATCCTTCCACCAGTTCAGATAAAAAAACCTTGAAGTTATCCATGACTCGTCTCTTTTTCCCACCTTCCGCATATGGCATGCCACCAAATCTTTGGCTCTGCCTCCAAAATATATTTAGAATCTGACTGCTTCTCACCACCTGCAACCTTTCCATCCTCATCCAAAGTACAACCATTTCTTGACTGTATTACTGAAACAGACTCCTAATGAGTCTTCTTACTTCTACCCTTGATCCCCTATGGCTATTCTGCACACAGTATCCAGAATAGTCTTATCAAACATAAAACAAATGTCATTTCTCTGGTCAAAAACCTCCTTCCATCTTACTCCGATAGCAAAGTCAACACTCCCGATGGATTCTAAGGCCCTAGAAGATCTACTCAGCTTTCCCTCTCTATTTCGCCTCTGAACCCGTCTGCTAATTTTTTTTTTCTTAATCCATTCTAGCCAATGCGGCCTCCTTGCTGTACCCTGAACATGACAGCACGCTTCTGCCCCAGGGACTTTGCACGTACCATTTCCTCAGCCTCAAGTGCTTCCACTCAGGTATCTGAATGACTCACTCCTTTATTTCCGGTGGGTCTCTGCTCAGAGGTCACTTCTCAATGAGGCCTTCCTGGCCGCTCTATTTAAAATTGCAAAACCACTTCCCAACCCTTCCTATTCCCCTTCTCTGCTTTATTATTTTTTTTTCTAAATTCTCATTACCGTCTAACATATTATATGTATTTTACTTATTTTGAATACTGTATTTCTACTTCCTTTAGAGTATAAACTCCACGATGGTTGTTATCTCCAGTGTCTAAAGCAGTACCCGGCAAATGGTTAAATACTCAATACATATTTGCTGAACGAATGAATTTCACAGGTCAGAAATGCTATTAAGTGTCACACCATAATGGAATGTCCTTCGATTAGTGACTTGAGCCAGAGAGGGAGGCACAACTCTAAAAGGCAGCTCAGGGAAAGTGTTACCTGTTCGGAGGAGTGACGGCGAGGACAGGAAATACATACCTTGAAATAGTGCTCGATTAGGATTTCTACCACAATGTTCTGGAATTTGATGTTCATCATGGCAGCTACAGTGTCCTCCTGAGCTCTCATCAGTGTAGGACCAAATATCACGCCCATGTTGGAGGGGGTCATAAGATTCTCTTTGCTGTGCTCACACACACTGCCGGGAGAGAAAGAAGATGATTAACAAGATTTTCTCTAAGAGAAAACAAAAAAGCAGAAGGAAAGGAGAGGCTTAAAGTCGGAAGAAAACATTACAAAGGAAACAACGAGCCAAGAATACAAGATAGCCTATAATTAGGGGCCAAAGCGAGACACAGCTAACTTAGCAGCACAGTAGGAGCTGGTGATGGGTCCTTTTTAATAGTTTAAATACTTCTGCAATTAACTCTTTTCTTTTACAGGTGTTAGAAAAAGCAACTCTGTGCTGCCAGCACGTGATCCAGAATGGCTAAACAACTAGTACCAACAGCTTCCAGCAGGCGTGAATCTCCTTTTAACACTCTATCCTCACAACTCCAAAAGGCAGAGTATTTTCTCTCTGAAGCCTGCATTTACAGAGGGTAAAGCACTCCGTTATGGGCAGTTTCCATACGCTTTGGCAATACAGGGACCCAAACCCATATCTGTGGGGCTCCAGGTCTTACAGTCTTCCCATTGCATCCCACTGCCTGCTTCTCCAGTTCCTTTGAAGAATCCCAAGGCCCGATGGGGGCGCCTGTAAGCTAACGCTCCCTTCTGTTCCTCTGAGGGAGGGTCCTTGTCCTCATTTAGGACACTCTTCCTTCTTGGTCTTCTTATGAGATTTGGAAGGTAACCTATTCTTTGGGGATTTCTTTGCATTTGACACCTTTCCTTTTATTATATATTTTGTAAACCATTAAGAGGCATAAGTCACACCCCAAACTGTGGGTTAATAAGATGAATGGAACCCAAAATAAGGGAATGTGAGTAGTGAGATAGGTAGGAGTTCATGATAGGATTTGACAGCAAAGCAATCTTAAATTCTCGAGCTACATGGACAAGAGAAAATGGGTACAACTTCTCTTTTTTCATATAATTTATGAAGTGACCCCTCCGATTCCTCCGGCACCCATCCGGCACTGCACGGGGTACAACTTCTTAAACATCGAAATTTAAAACAAAGGAATGGGTATCAGAGGGAGGCTGTAAAAAACCTCTGGTTTAGGAAAAAATAATTTTGATTAGCAGGTTTAGATGAGAGTCCATCGATTAAAACGCCTACAAATAGAACTACCTTATAATCCAGCAATGCCACTTGTCAGTATCCATCCAAAGGAACATGAGTAAACAAAGTCTACCCAAACCCTACACACCAAAAATAAACAAAAACCATATACACACACACACACACACACACACACACACATATGCATACATATGTGTGTGTGTGTATGTATATATATATCCCAAAACAAACACGAGAAAAAAAAAAACAGAACCGAAATCAGAGCAAATCTCTTGACCCAACTATGGAAAACTTTAAATAACAAATGACCTGTTTTCTTTAACAAATGATTTAACAAGAAAAAATAAAGAGATAAATGGGAAAACTATATCTTGGGAACACAGTAAAAACATAGAGGCCCTATGGATAATGTATCAAGCCTTGGCCTCTGTGCTGTTTATGGGCCCTCTAAGTGGTTTTTCCACACACATCTGTGAGAACTACTGCTACAGATGAGGGGCCACCAAACTATGACCCGCAGGCCAAATCCAACCTACCACCTGTTTTCGTAAATAAAGTTTTACTGGAGCACAACTATGTCTATTTGTTCACATATTAACAATGGCTGCTTTTGTACTGAAAAAGAAGAACTGAGCAGTTGTGACAGCGACAGAGTCCATATAGCTCACAAAGCCTAAAATATGTGTACTATCTAATCCTTTAAGGAAAATGTTTGCTGACCTCTGCTATAGATTAAAGAGGCTTAAAAAAATATTTCAACTGATTGCTATGTGTAGCTGTTATTTGGATCCTGATTCAAAAAAAAAAACATATCACATAGTTGAGACTACTGGAAATTTGAACACAGAATTAAGTAATTATTACTGATTTATTTTTAGACGTGATAATTGTATTGTGTTTATGTGCATAATTTTTATTTTTTTCAATATATGAACTGAAATATTTATGAGTGAAATAATATGATGTTTTGAATTTGCTCTGAAATAATATGGGAAGAGGAGAAACAGGTGGGATACAGATGAAACAAGATTGGCCACAGGTCGATAATTGTTAAAGCCGGGTGATGGGTATGGAAGACTTTCCTACCCTTCTATTTCTGTATATATTTGAAATCTTGCATAATAAGGCATTTTTTTAAAGGACAAGATACTAATGGAGTGGGAAAGTGTGTCTCTCACCAAGTAAGCAGTTCTCATTCCTGAGGATGGTGCTCTTTAGGGCAGACAGCTTTGGTTGCCTTTACTGGTGTGATATCATCTATAATTTACTTTAAATACTTGGATAGAGTCAAGTGCTATGTCCTGAATTTCATCGACGCCATCAACTGCAACCACACCATTATTTCAGGTGCCAGTAAAAAAAAAAAAATCATTTCGTTGTCCAATCATTACGTAGTATTATTGAAGACATTTTAAATTGAAAATAAACTCAACAATGAATATAATTTAACCAAAATGACTACAGTATGAGCAGCTATTACCAAGTTCATGCATTCAAAGATTATGATAATTATATCAAAACTGCTGCCTGCCAACAGTGATTTTAAGACTCCGTTGATTCTAGGATGCATCCAGAATACAGGTTACAATTTGAAAAACAAAAGTGCCCTTCAGAATGGTTGGAATCTGATACATGTGTTTGTTCATTTTCATGCATACTCTAGGGGTGATTAATTAGTATTTAAAAGACTAATCAGAGGCTAGAGGAGCTACTATAAGGTTCAGCAAACTTCATCTCCAATCGACCCCAGAGGCTTTATTAGCATGATTGATGATATAATGATTTCTCATTGCTTAGATGTGTCAAGATATATGGATTGACTAGAAATATTATATAGACACTCCCAAACTTGCAGGGACAGATTAGAAGAATAGACCAATGGTCAATCTTAAAATCAGAAGGTGAATCAAGCAATATTATGCACCCTCAGATGTGATGCGGCATAAGATATACAACATCATCACGTGTTCCAGCCAAAAAAAAATAGTTAACGTGAATTCATTTAGTCTCTAAATGGAGCCTCTGTTTTACAAGAAATAAATGAGTGAACGAGCTGAAAAATATGACAATGAAGAGAGCAGACAAAACTAGTAAGACTCCACGGAGCAACTGCTCTGGTTTCAACCAACAAGCTAAAGTCATAAAAAAGAGACAGTGCTAGATTTTAAAAAAATGAAAAGGACATAAGAAGTAGATAGAATGTGTGGCCCGATATTGAAGAGTAGTTAGGATGAACCACCTAGAAAGGTCATTTAGGGGTTAACTGGGGAAGTGTCAACTAATCTGGAAAGGTAGAAATTGTTGAACTGAAAAGGATAGGTTGTAGAATACCATAATCTCATTTTGGTGAAAAACGCAAATGTGTATGTATGTGGGTGTGTGTATACATAAACACAGATACTCATAGAAAGATCCAGAAAACTGCACTAATATATTAATAGTAATGATTTTTGGATGCTGGCAATAGACAGCTTTTACTGTTTTTGTTATTGTTGTTGTATTTTCTAAACCCTACGATGTATGATATTGCTTCTGAAATGATACAAGTGTTATTACAGAAATATGAAGACTCCAATAAGCCTAATAGCCCACATCTTTTAGAATGATAGTCCAGGCCTACAATTACACAGGGGTCCTGCATTTGGGGATCAGATCACAGGATTTTACTGCCTGACTCCATCTGTATTGCTATATTATCTGCCTCGGTTGAGTCTTTCATGAAAGATGCAGTCAGAGCGTCTAAAAAAAAGTTAGGAATTCATTGAGTTTACAGAACATGTTGTACAACTGGTTTTATGTCTGCTTGCTGATAAATACCTGTATGAGTGGCAGAATTAGGCCTGAGGCTTGCTTCCATTATAATATTCCACTAGTAGTGAGATGGCAGGGGAGGTGACCTGTAGAATTCTCCTACCTCTAAGTAACGAAAGCTATGGGTACCAACCAAAAAGAACTGGATAACAGGAAACCCCAAATTAGCTGAGGTCAGTTCGCATCTGACTGTTATTTACCTAGAAAATGGGCTGGCAGTGGGAACACATTACAAAGGAATTGATATAATCACGTATATCGTGAAAGCACAGTTGGCAGGCAGAATAATTATGTGAATTTTAAAAGTACGTGGATTTTTTTGTGTAAATTTCTGTATTGGAACTAAGCCTATCTTTTATTTGAAAACTACAACTTTTGATTACAAAGGTTTCAAACATACACAAAATCTGAAAGAACGGTACTGTGAACACTCATACCATCTATACCTAGATTCAAGAATTAACATTTTACTACATTTGCTTTCTCTCCTTGTGTATTTTTTCGGAATCCTTCAAAAGGGTTCTGATCAAGATGGTGGAGTAGGTAAACGTGCTCGCCTCCTCCAATGAACACATAAAAATTACAACTACAAAACCACCATCACAGAGAACCCCCTGAAGCCTACCTGACCAGAAGTCCTATAACTAAGGACACACAGAAGAAGCCACCTCAAGACTGGTAGGAGGGGCAGAGACATGAATCAGGCTGGTCCTACACCTACGTGTAGCAGTTGAGATCAGGAAGGATATTTCAGCTGTGGAGGTCACTGCTGAGGAACGAGAGGTACCAGCCCCACATCAGGCTCAAAGATGTGGGCATTATGTGCATTCATTGCTTTTCTGGGTAGAATCACTTCGAGACTGATTCAACTTTTGTTGTTTTGTTTTTAAACCATGAGTTCACATTGGCATTCTCAATTCAACTTTACTATTGTAAAATTTTTTTCTTTACATGTTGAATTTTTTACTTTTATCCCTTTTTCTTACATGGTAAATCTTGGCTTCTGATACTATTAGTATATTTATATTATTTTTCCTTTATCCCTGTAGTGTGTGTGTGTGTGTGTGTGTGTGTGTGTGTGTGTGTGTAAATATCTATATCTATATATACATGTATGTATGTATGTGTGTATATATATATATATCTATAGCTTCAAATTATAATGATGTTTCTAGTACTAATAAAATAAATGACGCTTACAACATTTTGCACTTCTGGTTTTAGAATATATCTCATTAAGGATGAGTCAGAAGATTGCATTGATAAGTTAACTGAAATAACTTTCCTCAATGTATCTGTTATCAATTTGATAAGACATTAAGATTTTTGTGTTTAATTTTAGGGTTTGTAATGTTTTCCTTTAGATAAATTTTACTTTTCGGATATGTGAAACATTAAGATGGCTCAAAAGTCAAAATCACAGAAGGAGGTGGACATAGAGGACTCTAGCTCTCATCCCTGTCCCTTCCACCCTATTCACCACCTATTCCCTTTAGTAATCATTATCATTAGTTTGTTTTTATAATAGCTTTATTGAGATACATTTCCCATATCATATTCACCCTTTTAAAGGGCACAGTTCAATATTTTTTAGTATATTCAAAGAGTTGTGTAACTATCATCACTATCTAATTCCAGAACATTCTCACCATTCCAAAAAGAAAGCCTGAAACCATTAGTAGTCAATCCCTGTTCCCTCCCATGTCCCCACGTACTAGGCCCTAGGCAACCACTAATCTACTTTCTGTCTTTATAGATTTGTTTATATTACATGTGGCCTTTTGCGTCTGGCTCCTTTCACTTAGCATAATGTTTTCGAGGTTTATCTACATATCAGTTTTTTATTCCTTTTTTAGGCCTAAATAATGTTCCACTGCACGTTTATACCATATTTTATTTTTCCATTCATCAGTTGATGGTCATTTGGGTTGTTTCTACTGTGGGGCAACTATAAATAACACTGCCGTGAATATTTGTGTACAAGTTTTTATGTGCACATATGTCTTCATTTATCTTAGGGATATACCTAGGAGGAGAATTGCCGGGTCATGAGGTAACTCTATGTTTAACGTTTAGAGTTATTAGTTTTTTATTTATTTTACTGTGCTTCATCTGATGATAGAAAATATCTGTTTAAATTTGCAAATTTTCAGCATGTAAAACAGATAACAGCAACAACAAAAAACCAAGGTGTGAAACAGGGTATGTAATATGCTACGTTTTTTTGTAAGAAAAAAGAGGGAAGTAAGAATGTATAAGAATTTAAACAGATATTCAACCTCTGGGTGGATAGTCAGGTGTTGCTCACCCACTGTTCACAGGAGAATTTTCAACTGAGCACTGTCGCATAGTGAGACTCTTCGAAAGTCAGAGCTGGAAGAACCCTTCGAGAACAGCTAATCCAGTCCTCCACTATTACAGATGAACAAACCAAGGCCCAGAGAGTAGGCAAGACTTTCTTAAGGTCGCACATCAAATTAGTGATACAGCTGGAACTTGAACCCAATGTCTATTTCCCCCAGGACAACTTCAAATTAACATGCAAACAATTTATGAGGCAGCAGCTGGCCTTTGAGGAGCCAAGTAAACGCATCTTTACTCACACCAAACCCCTCGGACCAAGAAGTATCACAGCAGGGCACACATACCCCTCGTGCCCGGCCATCCTGGAGCCTGTCACCAGGCCTACTTCCTGAAATGCTGCTGTCTGTTCTGACCTGCCACAGACGAGCAAGAAGCTGGCCATGATCTTAACAATACTTCCCATTGCTTGACGACCTCCCACGTGCCATGCGGCTCACCTGTGTCCGTTCAAACCCACAGAACACTTGTGCATCGTAGGCAATGCCATTCTCATTTTACAGATGGCCATGCAGAGGCTACGAGAGCTTTGCCTGAGATCACACAGCCAAATAATGAGTGGTAGAACTGGGATTCAAAACCTGGCTTATTTGAGAGCAAAGCTTGTGTTCGGCCCACTCCACCTGGTAGCAGCCTTCAACTGAGACGACGCCTCAAGTGAGCTGTATGATGACTGTGGGACGATATATACCAGGGTCCAGGTAAAATCACCTCCGTCACAGAGCACGCAGCGTGCCCAGGATGGAGCAGTTGAGGCTTGGGACTTAATGAGCAGACAGACAGGTCCCCTGCAGTGCTACCACGCGGGGCAGTCCCCTGCCAGCAATTCTCGCTGAAGCCCCAGAAGTTACTTACTTGACCAGGTGTCTTATAATGAGCTCCAGCATCTCTCGGTTCTTTTCCGGTAGCTTATACACCAGGGAGTGAATCGCCCCCAGCCGGTAATCCAGGCTGTCGGACTCTGAGAGAGCAGAAAGAGAGAGAGAGTTTTGCTTCTTGGGCAACTGGATCGAGCAAAGTCTCACACGCACGTGCACACAGAGATGGACAGAGACCCCGAGAGCATGAGAGACAGGAAAGGACCCAGAGAGGTGAACAGGCACAGAGACACGACGGCAAAGAGAAATCGAGCAAAGAAGACACTGAGAGAGAGAGAGAGAGATGGAGAGACCAAAAGGCAAAAAGAGCAATAAAAACGAGGAAACAGGCCTAGAAAGATGAAGAAAATAAGAGAGAGAGAAGAAAGAAGAGAAGACACAGTCACAGAGACAGTCGCAATTCTGGGCCGAGCAACCTGTTGTTAAGGTCCACATGTAAGTTTCCAGCTATAAACCCTTGGCCACCCACCATCCCGGCAGTACGGGGGGTCTGCTCCCACTTCTGGGCTCCCCTGAGAACCACTGAGAGGCTCAGAGTGAAGGTCAAAGGCATCTCGCCTCAACAAAGATCCATTATGAGGACGAGGCCCCCGAATCTTTCTCCTGCCCACCGCACAGGGCACGATGCGGGGGAAGGGTTACGTCGAGGTAGGCGGGAATACTTGTCGAGTGGCCTCGGCCAAAACTTTTCATGCCTCTTCAGCCGCCAACAATTGGGGTGATTCCCTATGCTTTACTTTCCACGCACCTCTCCACCCCTGCCTGTAGTTTTATCTTCTAGAAAAGGTAACGGTAATGATTCACAACACAACTGAAAAGCATCCGAAGAGGCAGAGTGCTGAGGGCAAAAAGCTCAGACAGCAACTGTCATGGAACCATCGTGCTGTCCCCCGGTCATGTGAACCAAGGCTCTTGTTCTAATGCTAATCGCACCCGTCACATCGGCCAATCTCCTTCAACCCACTCGCCTGACACTGATTTAGAAAAAGAAATAATACAACAGTTGAGTCAGACGACAAGCAAGAATACTCTCATTTGGTCAAGGATAAAAATCTGTGTATGATTTTGTTTTTTTCCCCTCGATTACTTTATGAAGACGCCAGGACAACACAATTAAGTAGTAACATAAATACTTACTGGCAGCAGAGACCAGCTCCTTGTGGAGTCTGTAAGTCATGACCGGTTCAGAAAGATTCCTGAAAGTAATGAAGATCGTAAGTTCCTTTGGGAAGAGGGGAGCTGGGCCCCAGGTTCTCAGTTCCGTGGGGAGCAAGGGTGAAGCTTCTGAGTCTCACAGCTTAGCGCGACATCATACACTTCGCATTTCTCTCTTCTGACACTTCGTCAGAAGAATCTTATTGGCTAGGAAGTCAACAGTAGACTCGGGAAAGTATGGGCCAAGACCAAGTTCATTCCCCAGAATGAAAATAGACACAAAGCAACACTACAAACCCCTAAGTGGACCTCCACCGAATGCTGCTATGAAGTCCTTGCAGTCTGACAGCTGCTTAGTTTCCAAAATGCTTTCACATCTGTCCTCCCACGTGATACTCCTGACGATCATGGGAGGTGGAGCAGTTATTCAAATCCCCAATTATAGAGGGAGAAACTGAGGCTCAAAGAGGTTTATTTAGTCAAAAATATTGACTGAACATCTATTTGTATCTGGCATCGTGACAGGTATTAGGGATCCAGAGCTCAAAATGACAAACCTCCGAGGAGCTAACAGACTAGTCGAGAAGAGTACCATATACAAAATTTCTAGTACAATGGGACAAGTATGATTAAACAAAGGTCGGTGGCAGGTGGCTCAGAGGAAGGAAGTAACCCACTAATAACAGCAAATTCTTCACATTTACTCATTTGATCCTCTGACAACCTGAAAAAGCAGATGCCGTTATTATCTTCATTTTATAGATGAGGAATCTGAGGCTCAGAGAAGTGAAGTAATTCATCCAAGACCACACAGCTAGCGAGAGCATAACTAGACTCGAATCCGTGCTCTCAATCACTGTGGTGTACTCCTTGCCACTGTCATCACTATACTAATCCAGGAGAGAGAGAATAAGGACCTCAGTAAAGATAGTGGCATGAGGCATATAGCAAGAAAAAGTAAGGAGACTTATTTGAAAGACATTAAAGAGAGAACTCCTCCTATGACTGGATGTGTTGGCAAGG